TCACTTGACTTCGTTTCCTGGAGTGCGCCTGGTCTCTCCGGCTCGGCGCGGGCCCGTCGTCAGACGAATGCTCCGATTAGATGCAAGAAATTCTTCTGGCTCTGTAAGCGCCAAAAAGTTGTCTGTGTCCAGGGGGCTCACGGGATTATCGCCGACGCCAACTGTTTCCGACAAGAATTTCGACATGCGAATGTAGGTTGCGCTATGTTTCAGGACTCCACCAGGGCTGGATGGCTCGTCACTTTCATCGCTGCTGATCTTGCGCAGCAGTTCCATACCATTCAACGCCATGTGATTCAGGAAGGCAGGATGCTAATGAGTGTCATGTTGGGAGGGGGGGGGGGGCAAAGGGAACATGGCTATCATGAATGTCCATATTCCGAACGCGTGCGAATCGCTAGCAGTATATGCATGCAGCTTTGACGAGCTAGTCGAGGTTTCACCGCCTGCCGAGCAGTGTTTTTTCGATTATCTTGGGGGGCTGGAATTCTACCTTGGAGGGGGAAGGGGGGATGTGTCCTGACGGGGCGGGTTGATCCCGAGGTGACACGCGTTTCCACGCGCTCTTCAACCAGAAGTGCTCGGACTGGATTGAATTCTTTCAAGCAGATGACACTCGTCGGGAGTTGAGGGGCGGGAACATTGCCCGCGCTGCGCGTTTAGACCGCGTCTACTCCAACATCCCAGCGGCGGTCGCTGCTGACCTCGCTAGTCGTGCTTCAGTTATAGGTAAGCTCTGTCAGGCCCGTGTCTCTGGTCATATCCCAGCGTTGGTCGCACGCGCACTTTCAAGCCCCCCGCCGGCCTGAATAGCGGGGCCCCCGACTGGATTAGCAAGAACGAAGTCTATCAAGAACTACGTGACACGGAGCTTAACAACAAAGCCGAGGAGCTTCATCCACTAAATGTTGTTGATGCTCTGAAGGCTGCTAAAGGCTATCATGTGCCCAGTGGTCAAGCGCGCGCGGCAAATCATTTCCAATCAAGTTGCCTCGACTCTCATTTTGAAGCATCACTGGCGCGTGGTAGCCCTGAGGGGGATACGCGCGCAGCAGGACCACCTGGCGTGCAAGGTTGTCAGCTGTTATCCCGAGCGTCAGAGGTTCTTTGACTGCCAGACCCTGCTCTGTCGCGACCGCCATGGCTTTGCGAATTGGCGCAGGAGGTTTGCTTCGAGATTTCGATTGAGGAGGAGGAGGAGATTGAGAACGATAACGCATGAACGATGATGCCAAAAAAGCTGCACTAGCCAAATTACGGAGGAAGATGGAGCTTTGGGGGAAATTCAGCAGGCGGACCTATCTCACTGCCGTACTAGACGCTAGCGGAAGCCCGTGTACTACACTCGAGCAGTCGACCAACGTGCTTGCTGAATATTTTTTTTCGCCAGCTACGGAAGGTCGTTCCAGGTGGGCGGAAATTCTGAGACATGTCCAGATGGTTCCCGAGGACCCCGAGGTTTCCTGGCAGGTTGAATATTGTATTTTTTTTGGAACATATACGACACTGCCGTAACTCGATGCCTGGACCAGACGGTATTCCATATGCGCGCTTGCGAATTGGAGTTGCGCCGAGATGCCTCTGCAATTTTTATGTTGGGATTGCCGATGGAAGCGTCCCAGAACTGCCTGACGATATGGGAGGGCTATTGGTGGTTTTCCGACCTAAGAGTGAGCAGGGGGGGGGGGGGGGGGGCGGGGCAGGGGGCATTCTTCGGGGTGCAGCATGCACGCGCCCGCTCTCCATGTCCAACACCGATGCGAAGATCCTCTCTGCAGTGTTCTGCCACCCATTGAATGAGTTCTCTACAGTGACTGTTGCACCCCTCCAGAAGTGCGCTGAAGGTAGACAACTGCTCGCGGATGTAGCGCAGGCAGAAAAATGGGGGCTGCAACAAGAGTTGATCGCACATGACTCGGCTGCCATCCTCTCGACTGATTTCCCCGCTGCTTCCCCGTCGCTTCTGCGTGTTTGGATGGTTGCCGTGCTCAATGCTATGAATGCCCCCTCCTTCATCGCTAACGTCTACATCGTGCTCTATAAGAATAACCAGGGCGCGGTAACTCTTGGCGGGCAGAAATTCGAAAGCTTTCCTATCCAGAGGGGGGCTCCTCAGGGCGACCCTAGCTCTATGGCCCTCTTCTGTCCATGCATTGATCCTGCATTGCAATGGATACAACAGAACCCCCCCCCACCACCACCACCACCACCACCACCGCAGATGTTGCTCTGTGCCTTGCATCTGCTGGCGACTGTCTTTTTGGAATGGCGGATGTCTTTCGCTCGACTACTGCCGCGCGGCGCATGCTTCTCGTTCTCGAGTCAGCTATTGGGCTGGCCCTCAACTTTCGCAAGTGCACTTTTCTGATATGTGGGGGGGTTAGAAAGGAGAAGGTCAGTGACATGATGTCCAAGGAGGCGAGGGGTATGGAGTTGGTGGGAGTAAGTTCTGCTATCAAGTACTTGGGGCTGTATATTGGCCCAAATGCTGCTGGTGTGGCATGGGGCGCCCCGCTGTCGGAATTCGTTGCGAGATGTGCGATGCCCCGTCAGCTCGCCCCTGGATATGCGATGACAGTCTCTACCTTTTTTGGCAATGTGCCTCTCTGTACTCCAGTTTGTCCTCCAAGTTGAACCAGTCACGAAACAGGTCATGCATGTGCACAAGCACATGTTACACTGCCTTACATGCTTGTCTCGCTCCAGAAGCTCGGGTTCAGCATCGAGTCCCCAGATCTCGTTGCTCTCTCGCGTGTCTGCCGCGCCCGTCTTGCTGCGAAGTGCCCTGGCATTCGCGAGTACTGGGGCGAGTTGCAGAAGCTCACTGAGAGCAACGCAATATGTTATGCCAGGGCTGTCGACCCACAGGGATGGCATCGCAGGTCGTTTTTACCAGAGATGTTTGAGGTGGTGCAGAGTGTCCAGGATAATGTGCAGCTCTCCGATCTCCCCCTGATACTCTCCAACTGAAACTCAACGCCCGTTTCCGCGCCCTTCCTCTCCCTGGACCTACGGCGTTTGAAGGCTTTCAGTATCGACTGAGAAAGTGGCTGCCTGAAGTGGATTGCAGTAGTCCTCTCCCATCTTGTCCTTCAAAACCGACGCAACGCAGCAGCGACTCCCCCTTGCCTTGCTGCGTGTGTTCTTCGTATCTGCACGCGTGGTGTGTGTGTGTGTGTGTGCGAGTGCTCGCTTCCACTCTCATCCTCGCGGCTGTATCTTTGGGTGTACTCATCGGGAATGTGGGTTTGATCTGTCTCGGGACTATGATGATCTACGTCATTGCAAATTTTGCCATCGTTTCCGCGAGTTATGTGTCCAATGGATGGGTACTGCGTTTCCAATTGCCCTTGTGATGATTCCATGGATTGCTATGCTGATTCAGCTCTATCCTCTTCCCCCGAATGCGTCGCTGCTGTGTGCCTGCATGCGCGATGCTTTCTTGCATGCTCACCACTGCGCGGGGCTGAGCCTGCCTGGCACGGCCCAGCAAAACTTTGAAGCTCGCCTCCGTCTTTTGACTCGGAGGCATGTGGCTGTTGCCGAGGCGTGGGTTGACCTCCGTGCAGGGCCTGGGTGGCTAGTCCCTGCAGGTGTGTCTTCGGGAGCCGAAACAGCTCTGTCCCAGAGGGCCTAAGTAAGCAATATGTCCGATTGTTCACACCCCTTTGGGCTTGCGCACACAGCGTGTGCAAGCAGCGTCGGCAGCGGGCCGACGCCACTGCGCAATGAACTTCAGGGGCAGTGTCGTCTCTGAACGCTGGCCTTCGGCTTTGGCCGCTGCGCCACTGGGGAGGTGGCGCGGCGCTCATCACCTGATCGTGGCCCACGGACACAGCGCGGCCAAAACCCAAGTCCTCGCATCACCCGGTTCCGGAGCTGCGGGGGTGGCGGTTGAGGCCCCGTGGCTAGTGACGCATTGGAATAGAGACGAAACGGCGGAACAAATAATTTGCCCTGATAAAAAAACCGGGTGCGAACCCCGGGAGGGGCACTTCAATCGAAAAATACAATGTGCACGTGGCGGGGGGGATCAACAATAATCGTTTTCAGAAGTGAGAGTTCAATAACAACAATAGCAGCAGCAACAACAACGCAACAGGCAGAATCCTCACCACGGGTTCTCACTTCAGCCACGCACCCAAGGACAATGAGTCACCGTTCGGCCCCCTCACTCGGACCTTACTCAGACCACGCAATAACTGGAGCCCGCGCTGCTGAACCCTACTTCAATTATGCACCCAGGGACAATTCACATTCGCTGTGCGCATTAATTCTGACAGGCATAGGGGTGTGTGTGTGTGTCGGTACTCTCGGCAGCCCCTCATCCTCTTCGGCACGTTCGAATCTGTGATTCCGGATGAACGAGGTTATTTCGGCCAGATCCGTGGCTGCGGATTGACCAAAACACCATGTCCATATCCGTCTCCATGTGCATGCGTGTATGCATACACGTGATCAAGCGTGTACGCGCGCATCTGCTCGTACGTGCACAGGCTCGCGGAGGGTGGCACATGTGTAGGATGGCTTTGGTCATCTAGCTTTCTTTCTGCAAGGAAGCATGCGAGCTTACAGGATGCTAAACTTCACGGGGGTATCGGCTCAGCAATAACACTAACAGGTCACGATGTGTCTGTGCGCGCAGAGAAGTTGGTATACATGTACGCTCGTGCGCACACGCATCCGCACACCAACATGTCCGGTGCAATCATGAATCAGTCGCGCATCTACGAAGGCGTGTGTGCACAAGCTCACGCATGCATACAACGTTGACTCACACCGACGGCCGTCTTATCATGAACGCTGTCACCACCTGTTACAGTATTGACGAGTTCTGACACGAGTCTACGAAGAGGAATCGGTAAAGGAAAGCTGTGTTTGGGCAGTGTCGGTTGGCCAATTTGCCGCCGTCGATTATGCCCCTGATTGTTCTGTCATGGATATCCTGGTCTACATCCTTCTTTCAAGGATGTGCCAGGTTTATGTCCACGCCTGTCCAGGTCTGCGGCTGGCATTTGTTCACCATTCAAGGTGCGGGTCGGGGGCTGGGGGGAGGAGGCCGTGTGAGTTGCGCTCATGGGGGTACAGATCGTGATAGCATGCCGTAAATTTGTAGCATCATTGGCAGCCCTTCCATCATTGCAGCCTGGCGGCGCCCTGGAAGTATGCTCCAGCATCGTTGGTTGATAGTCTAAGCTTGACGATTGCCCAGGTACGACCAAGAGAGAGCAATTGTGTCAATGGCCCGCCCATGCAGCGTCCATCCGAGCCTTAGCTCTCACAGCGACACCAGGGCTAACCCCTGCAAGGAGGCCGCGACCATTCGAGTATGGAGCCCTCACAGCGACGCCCAAGTTGGTCCTGCAAGTATGTCCTCCGTCGGGTCCTGGGGCCGTCAAAAGACGGTCCAGGGTACAAAGCTGGTCCGCAGGGTGAGGTCGAGAGCTCTGTGGGGCTCACGTCGCGAACGCAGTGTGACGTCGGACGTGAATGGAGGAGCAGGAGGAGGAGCAGGAGGAGGAGGAGGAGGAGGAGGAGGAGGAGGAGGAGGAGGAGGGGAAGAGTGGAGGCCGCCGACTTCTCAAACTTGCTCTCACGCCAGCACCTCTATCCCGCACTGAGCTCGCAGAGCTGCGGAACGCCGTTCCAAGAGTTCGGCGCTGGCGGGTCGCCTCCTCAAATTTTGGGGTTCGAGGATCGACGGAATTTCCATTTCTTCCTCGGCGGAAGGCGGCGGAGGGCCAATCGAATCCGGCGGAAGTAAATTGACGGCGTTCCGCCGTCGGAAGCCGGCAGAAAGGCCGGCGGAAGCCGGTGCAAGGATGCCAATTTTTTTGTGGTTTAGGGTGTCAGGAGTCGGCCACATGTATGTGCGTGTGGGGGGCGCCGCTAGGGCATCGGGGAGGGCATCAGCAGCTCTTCGGACATCGGCGACATCGGACAGACATCGGGCGTCTCGGAAGAGTCCGAGGCAACCCGTTGTTGTCGTCTTTTTGACCCTCCGCAGGCTAGGTTTCGGGCCCCACGGGTCCATCAAAAGCCGACGCGGGATGCGAGGATGGATTTGGAGGATGGGGTCGTTCAGGAGCAACGAGAAGGAGGCAGATGTAAATGGGGGGGACGCATCGACCCTCAATCGCCCATTGATCGCCGATTGGGGCCTGATAGCCCCACCCCGCGCAGGAACGTGCGGACTCGCTATCAGGGGACTAACGCCATCTATCGGTGATATATTGCCGATTCCAGGTCGATGTTTCCCCCTGTTGCCCCTCAGTCGTGAGGTCTGGAGAGGCCCCCCATCTGGAAACAATGACGGGCTGCTGGACGTTTGGGTATTGGGGGCGGCGCGCACACGAGGGGGGGAGTCACGGGCTTCGGGAGGTGCGGGCGGCCTTGTCCGCGGGCCCCCCCCTGCGTCCCCCCCGAGAAGTCCCCTGTCAAAAGGCCGCTGCCCTTGTGGCTTGCCGCTGGTATACAAAAGAGGAGGCGGCACCGATACCGCTACCCTTGCCTCACTCTCCCGTTTTTGGGCCTCCTAGGAGGCCCTCGTCGCCGCGGCTGCTTTCGCCTTGAAATTCTGGTCAGAACGCACCCTGGCAGAGGTCCCGGGTACTGGTGGGTCGCTGTAGTTCCCTTCAGGCTTACGCAGGGTGGTCCGCCCTCACTTGCAAGGCCTCGTCTCGCTCCTTGCCTCGGTCGCTTTCCTTAGGGGAGAGAAAAGGCATAATACCGACGCCATTCCCCTGCTTTTTCCTCCTTGAGCTTCCCGGGGGGGGGGGGCCGTCGCCGCCGTCGCCACGGCTGGAGTTGCCTCGGATTCTTGGCCCGAGTGCGGCCTGGTAAAGGTCGCAGGGCAGCGGTATCGGTATGCTCTTGTTCTCCAGCTCCTTCTGGTTGGAGCGCCTGCTTCTTCAGCCTTCAGACCCTTCTTGTTTCTCAGCAGCGTATCTTCAACGCCGGTGCACTCGCAGCGGGGGTCAGGGCTGTTCCTGAAGCGGCAGCCGGAAGTCTGCAAATTGTATGCGAAGATGCTCTGCGAGCACTTCCTGTCTTTTGATAAGGTAGTCGAATATCTTGGTCGGCGGGGCACTGTGCACACTGGTCGGCGACGGTCCAATTTGATGTTATGTCGGCGTTCGGCATGGTCTTGTGCCAGGTCTTGCCCCTGCGTTATGTGCCAGAGGTTGTGTTGACATGTTGTTTCGGGGGAGTGCAGCAGGACACAGTCTGCGTGCGCCGAGAATGCGAGGAGGGCGCAAAGTGCATTGATTGACGTGCGACTTGCTCCAGATCGGTGTGCAGAAACAGCTGTTCTGCCGAACATGCGTACTCGCCCGAGGGAGTTCGACATTATGTATGAGCGCATCATGCAGAGGAGCGTGGTGAGTGATCCTGGTGAGTGATCGTTTGCATCTGAGCTTAGATTCCTGTCCGTAGACGGTGTACACTGTATCGTATTCGTTGTTGGCCAAATTCTGGAAAGCGTAGCATGCCGTTGCAGTCTGACTGGGCGGATGATCCGCCACCGTGCCCCGAGGTACGAAGCGGAGTGTCCCCAGGTTTTTCAGAGTCCTCGTATATGGGATCGTGTGATACTTTTCAGGGGGGCCGCAGCCCCGAGTCCCGGACGTTCCCAGGCGCTCTTGGGGCTTGTCGCGTGCTGGCGCCGTGTCCCCGCATGATTTTTCCAGAGGCGAGAGGGCCTCCAAACGGGCCACGAGGCCCCCAAGAGGCCCCCAAGACGGTCCAAGGGATCCCTGAGTCGCCCAAAGGTCGTTCGAAGACGTCCTACATGGCATCAAGACTGCCCCAGGGGCCCCCAATACGCCCCGAGAGAGCCCCAAGAGCACCATCAAGACCGCCCCGAGAGGCCAAAGCCACTGATTATCCCCTGGTGTTTGACAGATTTTAGTGTTCTCGGCTCTTCGAAATCCCGACGCTCCAAGACGGTCCAAGAGGCCCCCAAGGTCGTCCCAAGACGGCTCAAGTCGGACGGGTCTAGGACGACGGGAAATCCGTCCCAGAGCGGTCCGGAACGCTCTCAGGGCGTTTCGGAACTCTGAGAAGACCTCGGCGCTCGAGATATCCTCCAGAGCCGCCGGATCTCAGAGATTCTCGATTCATCTTCACCCGATTTGATCCTCGTCCTGGCTTCTTCTCATCAAGAGGCCCCCAAGAAGGCCCCAAGACGGCCCAAGGGGTCCCCGAGACGGCCCCAGGAGGCCCCCGATAGGCGAAGCTCGAAGTGACGCGTGTCGAGCCCTTTGCCCCAGCATGAGCCCCGAGACCGCCAGCAGGCCCTCACGAGGCTCCCAAGAAGTCTCAGCCCCAACAAGCCCAAATCAGACCTCAAGAGGCCTCCGATAGGCTCCAAGACAACCCCAAACCGCCTCGACGAGGCTTCGACCTTCGACCTACAACCGAGTCATGGTGGCGGGATGTGCCGAAGCCCACTAGATCCGCCGCTCCCTGTTGATTCATCACAGGGGTGCCTGGCGTGCTAGATGATCTCGGTTTTGGCTCTTTTTCCAAAAGAACTCCCCCTGGGGCTCTATCGCGTCCCGCCGGCCACCCGAAAAGACTACCCTGTTTGCCTGGAGCCGGTTGCCAAGGGTTTTTCCTGCTCCAGACGGCTCCAAGACGGCCCAAGATGGTCTCCAAGACGGCTAAGATGGCCCCAAGATACTTCCAAGACGGCCCAAGATGCACCCAAGACGCCTCCAGAAGGAGCCGAAGAGGCCAGAATCATTGATTTTCCATAGGTTTTCGAAGGATTTGGGTATTTGTTTTTTTCTGCCTTCCGACGGCTCAAGACGGCCCAAGAGGCCCCCAAGATCGCCCCAAGATCGCCCACGAGGCCTCCAAGATGGCCCCATCACGGCACAAGAGGCCCCCAAGACGGCCCCAAAAGGGCCCCAAGACGGACCAAGAGGCCTCCAAGACGCCCAAGATGGCCTCCAAGACGGCTAAGATGGCCCCAAGATGCCTCCAACACGGCCCAAGATGCACCCAAGACGGCCTGAGATGGCCTCCAGATGGCCTAAGACGGCCCAAGAGGCCTCCAAGAAGCCTCCAAGACGGCCCAAGAGGTCCCAAGAGGTCCTCCAGGAGGGCCCGAAGAGGCCAAAATCATTGATCTTCCGTAGGTTTTCGAAGGATTTTGGCATTTGCTTCTTTTCGGCCTTCCGACGGCTCGAGACGGCCCAAGAGGCCCCCAAGATCGTCCAAGAGGCCTCCAAGATGGCCCCATGACGGCCGAAGAGGCCCCCAAGACGGCCCCAAGGCGGCCCAAGGTGCTTCCAAGGCGGCCAAAATGGCTTCCAAGACGGCTGAGATGGCCCCAATGTGCTTCCAAGATGGCCCAAGATACACTCAAGACGGCCTAAGATGGCCTCAAGATGGCCCAAGACGGCCCAAGAGGCCCCCAAGAGGCCTACACGACGGCCCAAAAGGCGTCCAGGAGGTCTTCCAGGAAGGCACGACGAGGCAACATGATTGATGTTCCTAAGGTTTTTGACAGATGTTGGTATTTGCTTCTCCTCGGGATCCTGACGGCTCAATTCGGCGCAATAAGCCCCCAAGATCGCCCAAGAGGCCTCCAAGATGGCCCCATGACGGCCCAAAAGGCCCCCAAGACGGCCCCAAGAGGGCCCCCAAACAACCCAAGAGGCCTACAAGACGCCCAAGATGGCCTCTAAGAACCCCTGATGTGCCCCAAGAGGGCCCCAAGACGATCCAGACAGGCTCCCAAGACGGCTTCCGACGGCGTCAGACAAGCCAGAAACGCCCTAAAACGGCCAAAGAGGCTCCCAAGAAGCCCCAAAAGGCTCCCCAAAACCATCCAAGAGGCCCCCAGGAAGCTCCCAGGAGGCCTCAAGAGTGCCCGAAGAGGCGCCCAAGAGGCCTCCTCCTCCTCCTCCTACTCCTCTTTTCTCTTCATCCTCCCCTCCTCCTCTTCTTGCTCCCTCATGCGTTCCCCGAAGTCTTTCCAAACCGACTCGGGGAACAACTGGCCCGATAGCTTGGCCAAGCTCCGGCCCAGCTGTCAGCCACAGAGGCGCTTCCAAAGAGGCATGGGGCGGCGGTGATTCGCCGTAGGCGTCTTCGATCCGCCTCCCAGTTGATTTATCACACGGGTGCCTGACGTGCTAATTCTCTGATGGTTGCTTGTTTCTTTTAAGATTTCCCTTGGGGCTTCGGCCCAGCGCGTGAGGAAAGACGAGCCTTTCGGATTGGATCTGTCCCCTGCTCCCGCCTTCTTGACCCTTATGACCCTCTCCTGTTCCCTTCTGTCCCCCTCTCCTTTCTTTCTTTCTTGCAACCGGCTCGGCTCGAGCCGGCTTGAGGCGAAATTGTGCTACAGACGCGTGAGCACGAGGTTGAGAAAGACCATCTGTCCCTCGGGCGCTGCCGCGCCCCGCCGCCAGACCCCGCTGTGGAACTGGGAGGGGCAGGAGTCTTGTATCCTTCAGTTCCGCAGTGGTAGCGGAGCGCTGAGGCGCGCCATAGACACGGAGAGCAACAGCTGCCAGGAAAGTTCTGTGCTGAACGAGGGCGGCGACTACGTGAAGTTCGATTTCCACGAATACGAGACCGAGTACGCGACGACGACGAGGAGCGATGAGGCCTTCATCGAGTCCAGGGCGGTTCCCGGCGATGGGCGGCGGCACGCTCTCACCGGACGCCCTTCCGCCACGGCATGGCGGAGGAAGTGGCACCTGGCAGGAGAGAAGGAGCTCCACCAGCTGGGTGCAGGAGCCGGCGTGGACGCCGGCATGGGCGAGCCGCGACCTGGAGGGCATACCTAGCTGGGACGGCAGCCCGAACAAGTGGCGGCGGTACAAGAAGGATGTGGCGCTGTGGATCGAAGGTATCAACCTGGACGTTTCCTGGAGGTGGGCGGCCAGGATGGTGCGTTGCCTGACGGTCCCCGCGAAGACGTTCGGGGGGTCGATCCCGATGGTGGAATTGCGCGCGAAGCCCTGGACTTGGGTGCGCGACGAGGCCACGGGCAACCCGGAGGCCGAGGAGACGGAGAACCAGCAGCAGGACGAGGAGTCCGGCCACTGGGAGGAGCCCGACAGCATGGCGGGCATCAACCGGCTGATGGAGGTGCTCGCGACGATGGGGGTTGACGAACCGACGCGGCGCGGCCAGGTGATGAATTACTTCTATAAGCAGCTGCACCGCAGGGCCGGCGAGGACTTGAATGGGTGGATGATCGCGTTCGGTGAAGCTCGGAGCCAGCTGGACGAAGAGGATGTGGCCCTGCCGCCGAGGACGGCGGGCTGGTGGCTCATCGAGAAGGACGGCCTGAACAAGACGCACAAGAGCATGTTGATGATCTCAACCGGCGGCAGCATGGAGATTCGCGAGGTGGTGCCTGCCATGATGCGGGTGTTCCCCAATCTGCACATGACTGAGCGGCGACCTAGTACGTTCGACCGCAGCAGGAGGACGATCACCTTCAACCGTCCGGGGACGCAGCTCTTGAAGAAGAGGGTGATTCGGAAGTTCAAGGAGGCACGCGTGACGGAGGACCTCGACGGGCTCAGCCAGCTAGACGAGGGCGAGCCCGAGGCGCTGAATGCGGAGCTCGGCAGCTTCGACGGTGACGCCGACGACGACACGGTGGACGAGGTGTTGACGACCGAGCAGGATCACGACATCGAGGGCGTCCTCGCCGCCGAGCTGGAGGCGCTGTCGACGGTGCTCGAGGAGGCCGAGAACGATCCCGAATGGCCCAGGAGCTCGGGAACTTAGAGAGCGGCGTGGAGTCGATGATGGAGGGCCTCATCACGGTGCGGGAGAGCAAGAAGCGCGTGAAGGAGCTTCGTAAGGACCGCAAGTTTGGCGGCAAGGGCGGTGGCAGAGGCTCAGGCTCGAGCTCGAGCAGCGGCAAGAAGTTCACGACGAGCTTCGGCAAGAGCAGCCCCGACAAGAAGAACTCGGACTGCCACGCCTGCGGCGAGAAGGGCCACTGGGCCGGAGATGCGCGCTGCCCGAAGCTCAAAGAGTGGAAGGCCGAACAGGCCAAGAAGAAGCTGCAGCAGCGGTTCAAGCCGAAGGGCGCGATG